AGCTTTCATACAGTCTAAATTGTTACAATTTTTTGATTTAGTGGGATATAAGACTGCAGTGTTTATGTATAAAGCCAGGAGCAATTTATTACCTGGTGGAATTCAAAAACTATTTAATGAAAGGGAAGGGGGATACAATTTAAGGGGTCAGTTAAATTTAAAAATTCATGCTATACGTACAACCAAAAAAAGATTTTGTATTTCCATAAGTGGGGTAAAACTATGGAATAATTTAAGTGCGGACATAAAAAATAGTAATAGAATTGACGAGTTTAAACATAAATATAAAGGTATGTGTCAATCAAGATACATGCAAGAACAGGTTTAATGATTAATTAGATGGAACATTGTGGGTGTGTTGTATGAATGTTAATACTCTGGAATAATTCTTTAATATATTACTTGTGTGGTGTAGAAGATAATTATTTAAGAATGTAATTATGTAAGAATGTTAACACTGTCATAATTTTTAGTATATTACTTGTGTGGTGTAGAAGAGAATTATTTATGTAGAGATACTACTTGCAAACCAATGATGGTAAGATGATGTCATGGGGTAGGACTGGATAAGTCTGACTTCTTCCTACTCCATTCAAACTTGTAATAGGTGTAAGCAAATTGATAAGGGATTAGCATTTGTGGATATGTGTGAAATTATGTGTGTTGACATAACTGTCTTTACATGCTTGAAAGAAAGAATAAAGAATACACAGCTAGAAACTAGCTTCTAAACAGAGTGGAGCATTTCACTCAGTAGTTGGTGGATACCCAAACAGAGCTAAAAGAGAAAAGAAAGAACACTAGACTTACATTCACCAAGAGGCCAGAAACATGACTCCAAATGAATAATAATGTTGCTCCATAACATCTGGAGGTATACCATTTCAATGCTGTGCTCACAACTTGTTTCACTGCTCCAAAATGGCAAAATAAGAGTTATTGCAGGTTTAAGAATGAGAGGGAAAAGGTCAGAGAGAAAACAGGAGATGGAGGCATCTGTGAAAACTCACTCCCCTTGCTCTTTGACATTTGTTATGGGAGGATGAAAAGTTATAATTTTCACAATCACGTTGTCCAGAGATACCTCAGTGGGTGTCTTCATATTGCAACCTTGAGGGTGCAATCAGAAAATCTTCTTGCTTTTGTCTTGTCTGAAACAGTTATGTGCGGTTACGAACAATGACGGTCAGATTTCATATGTGCATGCGCCAGATCAACAAATGCAAAGACTGACTACTCCTTTCATTAACTATTAGTGTTTGGGAAAACTCAAGTTAGGACATTCATCATCATAAGTGGTTCATATTATCAGTTGATGTGTTTGGATCAGCTGGCCTGCAGCTATCGGTGACCTGGAGTTTGCTTTATCTTGATGATAATAATGCATATACCGTATACAGAGAGCACATGCTCATGCACAAACAGATCCTGCCCAGAAGCAAACCCCAAAATACAGACTGCAGATTGCAGCTGCAGGCTGATTGAAGTGACAAGCCAAAACCGTCTGCGCTGTGGCCAACATCCCGTTTCACAGTTATGTATGGTTTCTATAGCTCAGAGTCATCACTCATTACATGGAAAATTTACCACAATTACAGTCCTGAAACAGCCTGCAGTCAACCAGAATAGAGCTTTGATGTAACAGAGAGAAGATGTGAATAATTCTTTATATCTGTTACTTGTTCCCTTCTTTTCCTTATGAAGGAGGCTGATCTGAAATGAATCATTTTGGTGTCTAGCCTGGAAATCTAAATGAAGTGTAGTGGAGCCTCTGTGTTTATCTCATTAGATAAGTGGCATTGTTTACTCATTTTCCTTTACCCTATAGCTGTGTTTGTGGCTGGAACTGGGAGTAAACAATGGGAGGTGCCGACAGCCTCCTTCACTTCCTCCTTCAACCTCAGTGAGATCCTGCAGTGGGAGCCCCACTGTCAGTACCACCACCTACAGGACAAAAGGAGAATCTCAGCAGAAATCCCGCCAAGACTGGACGGCACCTGGGTGTCCACAAGGTAAACTGACATTCAGTTGTTACAGCAATGACTACCTGATATGCACTTACCTCACTAATATGAAATACATTTCATACAAGAGCACCTGTTGGTGAGTAAACATTTCAAATAAGATTAATGAAAAATATATCAAATGCAGACATTTCCACACAGGGTATGTGGGATCATGAAATGGGTTGAATGATGAAGATTATGTGACTCATATGCTATGACCTTCACAAATACCAGAAGTTAACCCAAGTGGGAGGTTTTAGACAAATGTATTGCACAGCACTCACGATAATCAAATACGAAAGTATTTTGGAGGAGTAACATTGATCCTTCCAGTTTTAGAGAATTTGAGAATCTATGCCAAGGAGCAATGAAGCTTAATAGCTCTGTCACCCATTACCTCATCTTTTAATACACTGTCTCTTTTAACTGCTAATTTTGTGAAGAATTTGCATAAAAGTTGTTTTCCTGTATTTTAACTGAAGTAGATACGAGCAGAGCTTAAATCTAGCATAAAAAAAACACAGGCAGTTCTGGGATGATGCAAAACACTGTTAAGCCTTCTTAAATTTGTGGGCAGATTTGTCTGTGATCCTTTTACACTTACACACAAATTCATGCTGAACGGAACATGCATGAAAAGTTTCTGATTAGATAGTTAGATTCTGGTTGCTAATTAGTGGTTATTAACAGTAACACTAATGGATCTAGATAATCAGTAGAGATTCCCATGCTGTGGAATTCAGATGAAACTGCCTATCAAGCCAGTAGGGCCAGCTAGTGTAGTTTAGTCTAGGCCTGGTTAAGGAGCTGAGTATCTGCTGTTTGTTTGGTTGAGGGCAGAATTCAAACAGCGTGTTGAGTGTCTGAGGGCTCACCCTGACACCCTATGCAGGGCCTAATGACACACTAGGTCAAAATATCATTTATTTGGGCTTCCTATAAAAATGCTCACCAATGTTTTGCAGATATTACAATGTGCATTGCTAAACTGAGGGAAAATGTTCAAATACCGTGTCATTTTGATGGTCATGCCTCAGTTTAGCACTAACACTATTCTCTTTCTAACTATTTCTCCCCTCCCCCTCTGTGTTCAGATGTGAAGTTCGGCCCGGCCCAGAGTTCCTCACCCGCTCCTACACCTTTCACCCCAGTCGTCACTTCAAGGCCCTGCAGCATTATTACACTGACAGCAGCTGCGAGGACCCGGCCTACTCCCTCATGATCAGGGGAAAGTTCCGTCTGCGTCAGGCCTCCTGGATCACCCAAGGAGGAACTGAAGCTGAACACCACCTCAGCAAGGTGGGCATCGTGGTCCACAGCCTGGCAGCCAAGCAGAGGCTGGCCTCCAGGCTGCCTTCGACCTGCGTGGGTCTGATCCTGGGCCAAGTGGTGCCGGGGAAGCTGTATGATCTGTACAACACACGGACAGGGAGGGGATGTCTGGCAGCACTGGGCTTCTCCATGATGGAGATGGGTCTGATAAGGGTTGAGACTCAGCACCACAACCATGGAGGGAAGGTCCAGGAGCTGTTCTTAGGAGATATCCACACTGAGTGGGCACAGAGAACGCAGCACAGACCAACAGGGTACCAGCAGCCACTCCAGAACGCCATGGTGAGAAATGACGGTGCATATTTGTTCGGAAAAAGCCAACAAAAGATTGAATAAACGAGTAAAATATTATCACATTATACAGTTAAATATTCGTTATCTAAAAGCCTCACTTGATCAGTGTTGGTCATCTTTTTTTGATGCTTTATTTTTTCACATTATAACAGAACAGTATGGACAACAAGAATTACAAAAACATAACTGAAAACAGTAACTGCAAATTCCCATTGTCTGACCAACATTCCAAAGTCCCCAAATATTCAGTTCAATATCACCACAAAAGTGAAAAAACATATTTGAAAAACTGAAAACATCAATTGTTTTGCATGTTTGCTCAAAAAAATAAGTTACCAAAATTATTGCTCATATATTTGTGGCCAGTTGACAATCAAGCGATCATTTGCTCAACTAATTATTTCAGATTTAAACAACAAAAAACACTTTTGGTTTTAGACTGTTGCTTGAACTATCCTACCTCTCCCTGACTTATTGCAGCATCACCTCCACCCCTGCCCTCTGTGCGCTCTAGTCTACCGCTCCTCGGAGCAGCGCCCGCCAGTGTTGCCTCACAGCCCTGCAGCCACTCAATCTCTGGCTGGACACTGGGTCAGCCAACGCTGTGAAACCCGTCCAACCGTCCTTTTCCTCACCCGAGACTTCACCTTTGATCCTGACCAGCATGCATGGGAAGGCATCTACCGGCACTACTTGGACCCTGCCTGCTCTCGGCCCACGTTCACCCTGAGGGCCTCTGGCCACTATGCTCAGGGAAGCCCCTCCGCTAAAGTTGCGGGAGCCTCTGAGTTTGTCTTCAAGGTCACCCAGGTGAGGGTTAGAGCCATGGACAAGCCCACAGCCAAGTTGCTGAATGGGACAAGGCCAGGAAAATGTGGTCGACCAGGAGGCTGGAAGGTCGGAGCGGAACACGACGTGACTCCAACAGATGGGTGCACGGTGCTGGGCATCAAACTGCCACATAAGGAGTTTGAGCTTTTCAAGACTGAGCTGGACCACAAGAAACATCCCCTGCTGTTCATTGGAGAAAGGCCGACTGACGGGTCAAGTCCAGACCACCCACAGAGGAGGCCCACTTCCTTTCAAGCTCCCATGGTGCTTTGCAGTGGGGGGGAGACTCAGCCTTTGCATCACTATGGATCAGTTTTCAACAGCAAACAGGTCCAATTAGCAGCAAGTGGGACAGAGAGGCTGACACAGTTGGTGCTACTGGCGTTTGGATCTGCACTGTGTAGCTTATTCTGTGTTTATTAGAGACATTGTTCACAAATCAAGTCTGTTACACAGCTGGAGTCATTGATGGGCATTGTCTTCTGGCAGCTTTCCTTCATTCTTCTTCTATAGGATGATGACCAGAAAAATCACGAGACATTTGATAATACAAAGCAAGGTCCCTGTGGTGAAATGTAGACCAGCTATTTCTGCATCAAATGAAAACCATAGACATCCCAATAGACTTTACACCAAGATGCAGTATAACTGAAGCACTTTGTACAGATTTTTTTAAACCAACTTACTGGAAAGAAGAAAAGCCAGAAAGTTGAAAGTGTTTTATCAGTACTCTAAACAACTACCACCTTCATTGGTGTAATGCCACTGTGGAGTGAAATGCTTCTTTATCTCTATCCTCTTTCAAAGCTCATGCATTAGTCTGCTTTTCTACCAATCAGTGTAAACAAGTCAAAGGAGTATTTATTTTAACCTTTTATACTGTACTTTCTCACAAAAAAAGATGGTCTAATATTTTTACTTAGTTCTGCCATTTAAATGATTTTTATGTGTAATAAAATTGCTTTCTATAACATCTTGTTTTCAGTCAGTAAAACACAGCTAAAAGAGTCTGCAGCGTCTGTGAGTCTGTACAGTACAAGCAAGAAAGTAGGACTTTACGCTAAATGCTAACATGCTAATTGGAGGGGGGGGGTTTACCCCAATGGTAAGTGAGCACAATTCTAGAATGGATTAGAAAAATACTATTCTAATCACTATTCAAAATGTAAAAGAATCACCACTGACACACTAATAACAGCAGGTGTAACTAATAAGGAAATAGGAAAACCCATCAACTGCAACTTCAGTGAAAACCAAAAGAAGCAGAGATTATTGCAAATCCACCACATGCACGTGCAGGAACAAAGTAGCCCTAAACTCCTTCCATAATCAGTCCCACTTCACACCCAGAACTAACTACAAAGATTAGATGTAGTCATTTAAAGCTCACATACAACTTAAAATAAATAAATAAAGCTGTATAACCCCACATAAAAAGGCAAGGGCAAAACAGCAGCTGGTATCCTGAAACTTTTCCTGTTTGCCACTGTGCAGAACATTGTAATGCTGCTGATCCGTATACCTAACCTCAACTGCTTTGAAGAAGAATACCCATCTTACAAGTCTGCCAAGCAACATGAAGCGTGTCTGAGCAGCTCATGGTACCTGCACCGGCCTAAACAGATTTAGCTTTATACAGGTGTCGGTCATTAGACATTACCTGTTTGTCTAATGGGGAGGGCTTCCTAAGAGCTACCTGTCAACTGATTGCTTAAGGGGAAGGAGCTTCTAGAGAGTGAAGGTTAACTGTCACACCACACATGTTAATCTTAAGGTCATGCTAAATGAAAAGTCAAGGTATCATCAAAGCCAGGATGATTCATCCTCTGGTTAACCATTAATGTCTGTACTTTCATGGTCATTTAGTAATTGATGAGATATCTTAGCCTGGACCAAAGTGGTGGACCAACCAAGTGACACAAGTAAAAATTTAAGTTTACTTGTGGTGTGTCCCAAAGCTGCTGTTTTATTTCAAGGAGCAAGCAGAAAATTGTGACTGTAGCATCAGCTGGACTTTGTCTTCTCTTTGGTGTTCATACTGTGGTCTGGTTCAAAGCCCAGACAGTGGGCAAGCTTACTACCATTAGATTAATAACCGTCATATGGCTCACACATTACACAAGACATTCTGGCACAGGTCTAGCTGCTGAAAACACACAGACAGTTATCAGACTGGTTGCACAGTGCATCATAAGAACGCACAGCTGTAGCCAACAAAACAGATTTCGCAGTAGCTCCAACAACAAATGAGCCAAGACAAGCAGAAGTTCAGGAGACAACAGTGGAACATTTAAACCCAGATTTCCAGTGTTATGACTGAAGCAAGTGAAGCATCGTGCGTCACAGGGTGATATTCTCCATTCGTAAAGTCCTGACACCTGCTTCTTCTGACTGCAGGCATTTCAACTCAACTCAGTGCGAATTTATTAAGCAACTTTATCACTCAACTGTCAACAATGTCTTGACCTTTACATATAAAATATTTTGAAGTAGCTACTTTCCATGTAGAGTTAGCAACATTACCAATGAGGCAAACTAGAGTGTTAAGCCATCAATAAACTGGCAAACATTAGCAGATGTGTTTATGTCACCTGATGAATGTACAACCCTGTCTCCTAAAATCTATTATCTATTAAATAATTATCTATAAAAACAATGGGACATTTTTAATTTACATATTTGGCAAGTCACAATAATGCTGATACTGAACAAACTGGTACCATCCACAAAATTAGATGCAGTAATTACAGATACTTCTGTGGGTTTCTAATGCACAGTTAATGTAAAAATATGGATTATTATTTAAGATTTAAAACCAACTTTTCAAGCCTATAACAATACACAGTTCTTTCCAACAGGTTTTTATCTGTGGTGCAGCTTTAGAGCAAAGAAATAAGGGGTAGTTTAAAAATTGGTTTCCAAGAAAAATTAAAATAAATAAATAATGAGATAAATGATGCTAGTTGGCTTTTTAGTGTTAAACCCATTGAGACAGACAAAGAAAGAAAAAGAGAGATGGTCCTTTCCAAATGCTACATACTGTTCCTATTAACTCCTGTGTGAATAACGATGGCAGCTGCTTGCCCCATGAGGTCATCCTTCAAACTTGGATGGAGAATATAGGTCTCAAACCCCCACAAGCCACCAACAAAAGAACAAAAAAGCAAAAAAAGAGAGCAGAGACTGATTGGAAAAACTGAGGGTGGATGAGTGGCATTTATGTCTACAAAAATGTGCAGAATCTGTCACTGAATGGCTCCTGAATCTGGATAAATGCTTGCTGCCTAATCCAGCAGGAACGGCACGGATTCACCCAGGCTGTCACGCATTGACGGCTGGGTGGTGACGGATGTTCATAGTCTGTCTGTGGTTTCTGCTGCACGCCATAAAGTACAGAGACTGTCTAGGCAGAGTGCAGAGCCAGATTTTTAGCAATCAGGCCCAGTGACGCATTGAAGGAACTCACTGAATAACAACAAACAATGATGGATCCAGTTTTTATTAGCAATGTAAAAACCAAGCATCACTGCATTTTGGTTAGGTTTGTGAGTGTCTAACCTGAGGCACTGAAACTGGTAGGCTTAAGCTCCATAAGCCAAGTGAGTGAGTCTTTGTAATTCTTGGAGCTGAGATATAGTAACATTCTCAGCATTTTGAGAAATGCTTATTTGACTTCTTGCAGAGAATCTGAGAGAATCAGTACCACTCTTATGTGCCCGAACCAGAAGACTGTTAGCTTAGCATAGCACACCGGTGGAAGTAGTATTAAGATCCTTTACTTAAGCTGAAGTAATAAACACCACATTGTAAAAATACTCCACATAGGCACTGCAGAAGACTAGACACTGTTCCCAATAAATGATCACGTGTAGCCATTTACTTTATTAGTGATACTGATCTCCTTATATAGTTGAGCAAGAAAGTGATCAAACATATTTCCCAAAACCAGAAACTATTCCTTTATGCCAAAATAGAAATGATGCTGCATTGTATAAAACTTTGAATTACTTAATGTTTTGCTGGCACACCAAGTAAACAACACTAGGATTAAGGGATAAATGGTCATATAAGAGCAAACTGGTCAAAATTCCTTCACTGAACAAGCAGTTGAAATCCTCCAGAGCAGAAATTAAATCCAAAATTCTGTCAGTCCAGCAACATACTGTATGTAATGAGGAAACTCTTAAGGGCCACAATACAAGAGGTAAAGCAGAAATGGCCAAGTTTCCTATAGATTAAGAAAAGAAAGAAAGAAAAACAAAACAAGCTCTGAGGAGTTTCCTTTCAGCTAAACCAAGTTTCCAAACCTCAGCAGTTTGGTGGTTTAGTCTGATAAATGTTCTAGTGGTGAAAAAAAAAGAAACAGTGCTGCTTTTGGAAAGAAACTCAATAGAAAATAGAGCAGAAGGTATGCTTTTTTTCTACCATCTCCTGCCTTCCCATAAAAATCTTGCATATGCAGTTGATGCACACACACATCACTGAGGTGACATCACTGCAGTAGTATGGATAACTTCCAACCTCCCTCAGTGATTCAAATTTCAGGCACAGTTAAGAAGTTAAGACAATCCTATTATTTCTGTAAGAATATGAGCTGCAGCTGCCCCATAAAAACATCAGCCATAGGTTGGCTGGATGAAACAGTAAGTTTCTACTGAAAAATATGTCTTCTTGGTTCTGAGACAAATGAAGGAACATTTTTGCTCACAGTCCTGCAGTAACAGGGCAGAGACGGCATGTTCCTGCTTGATCTCATGCCAAACAAAAAAACGAGTTCCGTTCTGTCATGACCTCATGCTCATTTACTTTACCAGCTACTGAAAAGATCTGACTTATCAGCCTCCACTTTTCTTTGCCTATGTTTTTTTCTTTCTTAAAACAAACTCTTCATCTATCAGGACACCAGCGGTGGAAAAAATATACAGATCTTTTACTTAAGTAAAAGTACCAATAAAATAACATAATAATACTGCACTACAGGTAAAAGGCCAGCATTCTAAATCTTAACTAAGTGCTCAAATAGCAAAATATTGTCAAAAATGTTGTGCAGCACCTGAGGCTGATATTATAGTATATTAGTGCTCATTCCTAATCCTGTCCATCCTGGTCACTCCTAAAGAGAACCTCAACATCCTCATCTCTGCTACCTCCATCTGAGATGAGGATGCTGAGGTTCTCTTTAGGAGTGACCAGGATGGACAGGATTAGGAATGAGCACATCAGAAGGACCGCCCAGGTTGGCTGTTTTGGGGACAAGGTCAGAGAGGCCAGATTGAGATGGTTTGGACATGTGCAGAGAAGGGATAGTGGTTATATTGGTAGAAGGATGTTGGAGATGGAGCTGCCAGGCAAGAGGTCAAGAGGAAGGCCAAAGAGGAGATA